GGGGAGGGGGAAAGAGAGGTGATGGATACCACCGACTGCAAAGACCATGGTTGGAGATAGAAATTGGGAGCAGGCGGGATTTATAAAGTAAAAGGAAGGGGGTTTAAGGGTTTTTATATTAAGCATGGAAGTCAGTGTTTTTTAAGCTAACCATAAAGCTCATTTCTTTTTGCCGTTAAACCAATAACACCTCTTTTTTACGTTTTCACGAGACGCGTAGAAAATGGCTTATGGTGCTACGATATGTTGTAACCCGGGCTGGAACGCACCAAGCTTACCAATGCGATCATGCGTTTTTGCACTAGACTCGCAGATCGCTAATAGCAGGAATGATCCCTGCGCTGTAGCCTAACACTTGGGCTCATACTGGTCGCTCTCTGGCCTCTTCCAGCATGCAGGAGAAGGGGCGTCAGTTGGGACGAAGGTGTCCTATTATAGGGCCGTATGGACCTCCAGGTACATGATTATCAGTTTTTTGCAAGAAGCCCGCTCGTTTTTTTCGGCAAATGTTCGCTTTTTGAAAAAATGAAAAATCCACATTTTTGAAAATGCAAAAATTTCAGTTTTTCACTGAAAAGTGGTAACGTTGCTACAGTGGTCGTTCGCATGTATCTAAGTTTTCGATAAAGCTGGGTATTTCTCATACCCACTTGCAGGGAATTTCACTTCCAGGCAGAAAATATTCCTAAAATTTCAGCCCCCAGCTTTCCAGGTTGCTGAGATGAAAGTGGGTGACAAAGTTCATTCGCTTTCGAACACATACACACACACACACACACAGGCGATCTCTCTACAATATGCGTTTTTGCTCGCTGTAGCAGCTCTATAGCGCTGCACAGCAAAAACGCATAAAAAATATGGATACTTCCGGCTCATCCCCCTTCAGAAAATATTTACTAAAAACGAAGCAAGCCCTAATAAACAGCAATGCACACCAGACTAGCCGGCGTGATCATGCGTTTTGTGCAATTCGTCCACGAAACGATTGTCTGTTAATGATTTTCACTGCTTTGTACTTTAGTCTGTGCAAAAATAGTTGAAACGTTGGAAAACAGTTAAAAATTTCACGCGCCGACACATGTAATCTCACGCACCGCACTACCGCAAAACTGCAGCTTCTTGGCTTTTACGGCTCCTAAAGTAATAATTTCCCCGCCAAAATCTTCACGAGACCGTAGCTAATATCCGAGAGCGCGAGAACGACGCATTTGAATTTGCAAGGTCGTTCGTGGGCAGGGGATCATCACCATGAAATTTCAGCTTCGTAGATTTTGTGATTCCCGAGATAATAATTCACCCGCCAAAATTTTCACGAAGCCGTTCGTGTTACCCGGGAGCAAGAGAAGGCTGAATTTAAATTTTTTGGGCCGTATGTGTGTAAGGAGCATGCCCATAAAATTTCAGCCTTCCGGCTCCCGTGGTTCGCGAGTTATTAATTTACCGTAAAAAATTTGCACATGCCATACGTGTTACCCGCGAGTATGGTGGGGCTGAATTTAAATTTGCGGGACTGCACGCGAGTAGGGGACGCCCCTTAAAATTTCAGCTTCCTGGCTTTTGTGGTTCTCGAGTTGAAAGCTGCGGATGGGCTGCTGCGGACACACACACACACGCACACACACACATACACACACAAAACACACAGACAACCCCGTAACAATATGCATCTTGTACTGCTGTTACACAGCACAAAACGCATTTAAAGAAACTACCGCTTTTCTAAAAAAACCGCACTAAAAGTGACTCCGCACCAGTCAATACAGCACCGCTGCCGGACCGGGAGAAGAAAGCACAGAGCCCCGTTCTGCTCAGTCTCCTCACTCAACCGCACATAGCACCATTCCAAAAAAAGCATAATTTCATGCAAACACTCGACTTGCGTGCACGCACACCACTTTGCTACTCTCGTTGCCGTGGTCAAATATACTCCCCTCCGACAGTGGGAAGCCAAAGCAGTGGAAACCAAGGGAGGCGCGCTCACCTCACTCATCGGACAGGGCAAAAACCCTGCTGCCTGACTGCAAACTGAGACTCTGTGAAATGAGTGCTGCGAGCAGTGAGCCTCAAAGCTGGCTTCTATGTTCACCTGTCCCTCACTGTTGAGGTCGATTTTCGACTGTGTAAGCTGGTCGAATATTAACATCGCCCTCATGCCTTTAGAATACTTTTTTTTTTGGAAAAGACGCGAACGGACAGAAAATTTGGTCGCTACCGGTGAGGATGCGGGGCCTGCTGACTCCCGCTGCTACCGCATTACGGCGAGCAAGTGGAATGTAGGCGCAACAAATTAGGGATCGATAGGAGAGAGGAGGAAGCGAGCGGGGCGCCGAGGAACATTAATTATTGCAAGATAAAGGGAACTGCAAACTACACATTTTTGGACGCGCGCATTTACCGCATGCATGCCCACGAAGTTACCTCATCGCCTTCCCACATATCCAGCACTGCCCGCACAGAATCCCCCAACACTCGAATCAACCCTTAAGCCAGCCAGACTATTCGCACAAAAGAAAAAACTCGAAAATCGCGTCGACGACGAGCGTAAAATGCGAGCGCCCCGAATACAGCCAACATAAATAGCATTGCTGTCGCTGATTAAAATGAGTGTACAGCGAGGCGTAGTTCGTTGGTCTTTAGACAGAGGGCCGCCAGGCAATCGTGCCGGGACGCAGCCACATATGCAGTGTCAAATTTGTCGGAAGAGCTGTGAGAGTGGTGGGGGAGCGGCTTTCGCGCACACTTGCACTGCGCGGAATTGACACCCCTGGGCCCTCAAAAGACAGCACTTTTATGCATGCATGCAATTACCGGTGATCAGTGGCGCACAGACAGAGATACTTCAGGTAGCGGACATACTGAAACGCATTGAAGCGGTCAACTCGACGAGGAAAGAGGGCAGCGGACGCAAACTGCGCAGCCTGCTGAACGCGCTGAAGTCGCACATCGTGCTGCTGGACGCGCGCCTGAAGAGGAACGAGTGCACCGAAAGCCCGTGCTTCAACGGCGGCACGTGCATCGACCTCTACGACAAATTCACGTGCATATGCCCGGCTCACTATGAGGTGCGTTTCGTTGCGGCTCGCCGGTGAAATTGCTCTTGGTAATTCCGTAACGGCATATTGTGCTGGTGTACAAAAATCCTCAAAACTGCGGAGTGGGATGCACGCTAACATTATGTAGGATGTGCTCGACTGCACAGTGAAACACTAGGCATAGAACTGAGCTTCTAAAATTGCTTGGAAGAAAGATTGAAAATTTTGAAAGAGAGGGACAGGGTCATAAATCCAACATTTGGTCAAAAAGGGCCAAATTTGAGTGACATTTCGACGGTCTAGATCCTAGACGTGGGAGACAAGTCAAACATTCGGGAATAAAGGTAGTATTATTCGAGCTGGAAGACTGCGGGGGGAAGGAGGGTGCTTTGATAGACCAAATCCGGTACAAAAATAGCAATTTTTAGGGTGAAACATGTGATAGACGAATTGACGAGTGCACGCTGTACAAAGGAACACACGCCGGTTGCCAGAATAACGCAACCTGCGTACAGAAGCCAAATGGATTCCAGTGAGTGCTTGACGGCGAAATATGAATGCATAATACAACCAGTGCATTCTACTAAAATTGATCTTGGGGCATCTGGAACTTGGAAGGCGATGGCACCTTAAGAGTTATCGTTGTTGGTTAGGTGCCATGTAACGAAATTCACCTCCCTTTCTGCTCATTGAACGCTAAGATCGTTCGTAACGGCCCGGAAAATGTGACGTTCTGTGAGGGGAAGGAGGATTTCAAAAAATTCCACGATGAGGTCTTCAGAAAATCTATCAAAATGGATTCCAAACTGCGTGCAAAGTAGACTGACGCAGAAAAAAAGACGCTCAGGGATTACTGGTTCTTTTATAAAGTTTGATTTTTGGATATGGTACTTAAAAGCCTGAACTGTCTGTATGTCTCACCTTGCATCAGGCGGGGTAGAGGGAGAAACTTGGATATGGTGTATATGGTATCACTTCGGCAGTAGCAACCGCCCGCTGGGCAAGACTGTCGATAGCTCGCTCCTTCTGAGGTTGCTTACAAGCAAACTCAAAACGGATGACGTCCTGTTGTTGTATGGTTTTTATTATGTTGCTTGTCTTGCCATATAATGCTTGTACATTTGCGTCTTTGCATCATATCAGTCTGCTGAGTTCGGATTTCAAAATTGCTAACATCAAATTTTGGTATTTCTTAGAGTCCTCCGTTTCGAAATTTGCGCGCATCGGAAAAATCGCTGTTTAAGGTGTGTCTGCGCGAAAGGCTTCCATGGGACGCTATGTCAGTTGCGCACAACAGCGTGCGAATTTTCGCTGGATCTGTGCGGTCCAGCAGGTCACTGCATACCTGCACAACAAGCTGAAGGATCCACTGAGGTTGCTTAGTATTTTTAGGCTTATAGGCCTAAATTATACATTTCCAGATATCCTTTACAGTGAGAGATAAAGCAGAAAGTGTAAAGATTTGATCCTCAACGTTGAACAAAAATCAGCAAAAAGCAGCAACTAAGTCTCTGTTTTCGGGAAAG